GATTAAAGGAAGAAAGTTATTTCAAGAAAAATTTGTGAGCGATATTCGATGGGAACTATCAATACTATCATCGGCAGGCTGTTGGTGAGCTCCGTGCGTGCTCATGACGTCATTTGCGTGTTTATTCAATTTTGGTGCAGGAGTCATTCCCCTTTGTTTATTTTATTGTTAATTTTCATTGGACGAAATGTAGTGTAGTTGTAGTGTGTATCGGTCTACTGTTGTCAAGCACTAGTGTGTTGTATACAGCATACCGGAAATCTTACTCGTTTTTATTCATATCACATGACAAAATAATTGACTAAGCGACTCCCATTATTTATTATGCCAAACACTTAATACATATATATATATAAGAATGAGCTAGGGTGACATAACGCCAAAAGGGAGATATGATTTAAGTACGTTCGGATTCCTAAAAACAATCATAGTTATTTTCTATTATTTTACGGAAATCGAATAAATTTAAATGCGCAAAAAATATTTTAAATCCGCTTTTATTTTAGTAAACGTTTAAGTGGCATTGATACCAGAGCGATATAACTATCAAATCAAATCAAATAATCCTGTAGAAGATTTTTCTAAATTTATTGAAATCTGGGTGGGGGAGGGGTTGGTTACTTTGGCCCAGGCAGCACAAGATACGTCTCAAAATAAAGGAATGAATTTGACTGATAATTAACCTTTTTGGGAACATACATTTCAGAGGTAGGAAATAGGATGTGTACATTTTCACGTGGATGACAATATATTTAAATCCTATGGTATTACATTTGGGAAAAAAATAGATGTTACATTTTCTTTTTACAAATATGTGTACGTTCATTTAGCTCAAGGCAGAACAAGATACGTCTCAAAATAAAGGAATGGTTTGATAAATAATTAATTTTCTTGGGTAAATACATGTCGGAGGTAGAAAATAGGATGTGTACATTTTGCACGTGGATGACAACATATTTAACTCCTATGCAGTGGCGTAGCTAGGGTTGGTGTCACCCGGTGCGGTAAACTGATGGTGTCACCCCCGCCCCCCCCCCAAAAAAAAAAAAAAAAAAAAAAAAAAAAAAAACGTGGATGACAACATATTTAACTCCTATGCAGTGGCGTAGCTAGGGTTGGTGTCCCCCGGTGCGGGAAACTGATGGTGTCAACCCCGCCCCCCCCCCCAAAAAAAAAAAAACCAAAAAAAAAACAAACTTTCATGATGGATTTCTTCTTGTTAAAATAAGTCCACAGTATAACAATGACAAGAAGAAAAACACATAAATCGCATGTCATGAGGTCAATGTATTTAAAAACTGTAACAACGTTAAGATATAGTTTGTTTTACATTAAATATACTTTATCTAACATTTTCCTTTCCTTGTCTTCAAAGCTGCAAACCTGTAAATCCTTTGATCAATGTCCTTCACTGTATCACTTTCAATTGACAGCAGAGCCAAATCAGAAAGCCTAGACTGTCCCATGATGGATCATAAATATTTCTTGATAAACCTTAGTTTTGAAAAGCTCCGCCCACAAGGCATAGCGAGAGTATTGGAAGAAATTCAAGAAAGTCCAATTCAGCTATGAATTTCAAACCATCAAATACTGACCAGTCCATGACTTTGTGAAATTCAATTTAAGCTGCCTCTAGATATCTTCTAAGCCTTGGTATGTCTTTTAAAAGTTCACCTTCTGATAGATCAGCATAGACAGAAGTTAATTTTGGAATGGACACCAATAACACTTCTTCACTTGCTGATACTAGACTCTTAGGTTGAACTGCTCCAAGCATATCTGCTACACTCCTTGATCGCTTATGATCTGATCTGGAGTTCAGAATGAAAGCGATCAATACACTCCAGCTTCTCCCTACTGTTTTCTTCTCACAGAAAGAGTCCAGCATCTATTAATTGTTCTCCTGTCACTCTCTTCTTAAACCTTAATCTTCTCTCTACCGAAATTCAATATTTGGTCCGATTTTAAAAGTGCCTTTTCAATCGTATGTCCCCCCCAAGTGACAGAGCTTGTCGTGCAGAAAGAATCTTAAAGCCTCTAGGTTTGTCACCACTTTGTCAAGAGTCTTTAGTCTGCAGATACTGCTGTGTAAGATTAACTTCCTCGAGTTGATCAACCCAAAGGTAAAGGTAGCAGATAAACGTGAAATCACAGACAGCATGTAAAAGACCTTGTGCTGTGCCTTTTGTATCTGAATATTCAAGAGGATTACACAGAGTTTCAATCACCGCCGCACATTCATCAAACTCATCGCTCACTGTTTTAACAGCAGCATGATGAGCAGCCCAACGCGTTGTTGACAGTCTTTTCAACGACATTCAAGTGTGTTAAATTAGAAAATTCCATCGATGAGTGGATGCAGCAAAGAAGGAAAATATTCTTGCAAGAGTACCGAAATATTTAAAACATGAAGCATTTTCGGCAAAAGAGTGTTGACCACACAATTTACGTTAATGGTACACACATCTATTAAAAATCGCTCTCTTATTATTTCTTTTCACAATGGCCTGAAAAACCTCCATGGATTCGAAACATTTTGACCGCATTATCGTAACCTTGAGCTTTGAACATCATTATATCTCGTCCATCACCTTCTAAATTTGTGAGAATATTAGAATGAGCTCATCAGCTTGTTTCCTCGTAACGCCTCTCTCACTTCAACTTTCCCTTGGTGGATTTTCCAATATCTGATCACTTTAGACATCTGGTCACTGTGTATTTTGATGAACCCTGACCCTGTTCATTATAATTTGGTTTCTTGATATCGAAGCCTGTATTCTGTGATTTTAGTAAGTCACTTTTGTTTTTTTTTTTGCTTTTCACTGCTGACAGCAGTTTGGGCGTTTAGATTTGTGCACGCCGTGTGGAATGATATAATCATCTTGAACAATAAAAATGCTTTAATTTCGTCATGTTCAAGACAACAAACAAAATAATTACTGATGACAGATCAACATCAACTGTCACAGCACTGTCCAAAACACAACTCAGAAAGGTAACTGGTAAAACCCAGAAGTTGAAATAAAACAAGCTTGCTCAAATGTTAAGGGGCGATACTAGGGACGAATCGGGGAAAATAATATTTTTTTATAGTATTTCTGGGTTTCGATTTGCAATATTAAATATGTCTTCAAAAAAAACTTTCTTTAATTTAGATTAAATTATTTTAATTTTTTGCACAATTTTCAATCTTTTAATGATTAATTCTTATTTATTTAATCATTAAAAGATTGAAAATAGTGTAAAGATAATACATTTTTAACCCTATAAATGGGTAAAAATTCATTTTAATGTGTTTTATTTTTACCGACATAATCGTATTTGGTATCAATGGGAAGCTCCATTTCTCCGAATTCAGATAACTATAGCCTCCTGTCGCTTACGTAAGTTACCGCACATTTCAATCGTAGTGGAATAATGACTGTGTTTTTCTGACCTAAACATAGGGTCATCTCATTTCTGACGCATGAATCTTTAACTTTTAATAAAACACGAATTTGGATTGGTTTCATTTGTGAAAAATGTATGCGTGATCTGTTATCCTTTTATGATTCTAGGTTAGACCAAGCTCTATAAATATGCACTTTTTTAATCGGGTGTCACCCCTAAAATGGTGTCACCCGGTGCGGTCCGCACCCCCGCTCGCTACGCCACTGCTCCTAGGTATTACATATGTGAAAAAAGAGATGTTACTCTCTCTTTTTACAAATACACTTATGTTTACCAATTAAGAAGATCAACGGCGTTAACAAATCTTGAGTACATTAATGTAAGCATAACCCAATCATTTTACACACTTGAAAAATTATTTTTTTAAAATTGGGATGGGTCAATATTTACTTTCAAAACATTAAAATACATTTTTGTTTTTACTTTGCAAAAAGTAAAGAGATTTGTATTTTATGAGATTAAACATCTAATTTTTTTAAAAACAACAAGACTCAAATCTGTTATAGTCGTGAAAAAAGGTTGAGTGATTCTTCTTTAGATAAAAGAATTTTTTGTTTTACGATTTTTTGATAATATATAATTTTTTTATAAAAAGGCAAAAAATGTGTTTAAATTTTTGCTGAAGATATCAATATATATCGAATTCCTATGAAATAAAATATTTCTATATAATATATAGGGTTTTTGGTGTAAATTTAAGGCAAGTTTTTAAAACAATTTTTAGAGAAAAAAAAGTTGTAATTCAAGCGCACGAAAAGGGGTAAAACTAAAGTATTTCTCTAACGTAGTAATTATCCCTCAATTAACTTCTTTAGTGACAAAAGTGATATAATTAGAAATAATTTAGACTGTGTAATTTAAGGTCATGTTTAGAGGGGGGGGGGTAGTTTAGGAGCGTGAAAATGGAGTAGGGTAGGCCTAGAATATATAGCAGATAAATTCTTCTCAAAACGTAATGATGTTAGATAGGTAAATGTTGTTACATTTTTTATAGTTATGAATTGTGATGAGTTTTTGCAGTTAGAAACTATCGCATTTATGTTAGTTTAAAATAAACAAAATTGATTTATCAAAATTTTAAATGTGAAGAAGAGCACTCAAATGACGTGTGTCTTTTGCGTTCTAAATAAACCAGGTAACAATGTAAGTAATAACAGTAGGATTTCAACCCACACCATTTACATGTTATTTGTTCTCTTGAAACAAAGTGTCGTCTATGTTTGATAGTGCCAGTTGTATTGCCTCCCTTTACACAATCACTCTACAAGCTAATGACCACGTAATGATCCCATATGTACAACACCAACGGCAATAATTCATGTTTATCATTGGTTCAAGCAATTTGTTCACTGTTTTCTTTCAACTGAACTGAACAAAAGTTAGCATCACTAAAAACATTGCTTAATTAAAGAAGACATTGCATTAAAAATTCTCGCATCAAATCAGTGAGAAGAAACTCTTCCCGGTGATTTTGATTTGGCTTTAGAGATTGTATTCAAGAGAGATATTTGATTAATTTTTTATGAGCTGATGAAAAAGTGAATATTAAGTTGAGTTTTTAAAAAAAAACATTTTTATTACGTTGCATCGTCTATTTACGTGTAGGACAGTATTCAAGTATTCAACTGCCATCCGGTATGTCACTTTGACAGTCTGATCCAACCAGCTGCTTTGATGATGCACAAATTGGTCGTGATGTCATGCCACCATAGAGGTACCGGTACCACCAGAAGGGTGGCTCTTTCATGTGCCATGGTAAGAAAGGGGATGACGGGCTGATTTCAAGGGGCGGCTTGCCCGGCACGTCTGTTGGGGGAGACAGTGGGGCGGGAGATGGGGTCAGGACGTCTGGGAGTTGTATGGTTGTTTCATCTGACCTCTGACCTAATACACAGAGGTTAAAAAACAACAAATAAAGATCACGTGACCACTCATTTAAAACGTTGAACAATAATAAGAAGTATTGATTTAAATTTCTATTTATGCTATTTTTATGTGTTATAATTTGTGGAAATAGGCGTAATTACCAACTAATATTTAAGTCAGTTACACCCATTAGATCACGGTTCTTTTCTATACTGCTCAATTATTTCATTAGTCTCGCAACCTATTCTAAATGAAGGCCTTTTCAAGCTTGAAAATAGTGGACTTCAAATTAACTTATTGAATGGTACAGAGAACTGAGGAAATTAGAAATCAAACTTGTGACCTATCATATTAAGAAAAATGATAAGAAAGATAAAAAAATAAATAAAAATAAACTTTTATCTAAAATATATAATAATTTAGGAGCGAACGTCTTCTCTGTTCATAACGTTATAAAATCATAGTCCTTGCATTCCCTGAAGAAATGCCACATGGCATCCCAGGTTGGCAAACCGTGAATGCCACTCTGGTTTCTTCAAATAAGGCAAATAAGGTGGTGAAAATTTTATCAGGGAAAGACATCTCTTCCCGAATGCCCTGATTTATTGGAAATCTCATTACCCGAAACACTTTCCTCATCCCTGGCACCATGGCTCGTGTCAACGGCATGACAGCTGTCACTGTCACACGACTTTGATAACAACTGCATTGGTTGACCAGCTCTTCCTGGTATCCCAGGTGCAGACGAACACTTGGAGTCCTGCTCTACTTAACAAAACAAAACAAATGAAACAGATTGAATTGTTGGGGAAATGGGACTTTTCTTCTTCTTCTTAAATGCCCCCAAAAATGTATAATATTTACCTCCCCTTCATATTTACCTCCCCTTCATGTTTACCTCCCCTTCATGTTTACCTCCCCTTTTGGTGGCATTGGCTGTATGTTAAAAAGTTAAATAACTGTTTAATAGAACTATGTCTAATTCCATAATCTCTGGGCCGTATTAACAACGAGTCATGGTCAACTTCTATCAGGACATCTATCAGGGCATCTATCAGGGAATCTGTCAGGGCATCTAATCAGGGCATCTATCAGGTCATCTATCATGTCATCTATCAGGGCATATGTCAGTGGAGAATTAAGACTGTTTCACTTATTTTATTTTTTTTAAAAGGGGTGGGGGAGGCTTTTAAAGAGCCAGGACGGAATTCAGGGCATCTATCAGGGCATCTATCAGGGCATCTGTCAGGGCTTCTATCAGGGCATCTGTCAGGGCATCTATCAGTGGAGAACTTAGAATAATGTCACCGAAGGTCAGCAGGAATTGGCGAACCCCGCCAAACATAAACGTACATTCATTCCGGCTGAGGCGCCCACCTGAGGGTATGATCGTCTGAGGCGCCCACCTGAGGGTATGATCGTCTGAGGCGCCCACCTGAGGGTATGCTCGGCTGAGGCGCCCACCTGAGGGTATGCTCGTCTGAGGCGCCCACCTGAGGGTATGCTCGTCTGAGGCGCCCACCAGTGGGTATGCTCAGTCTGAGGCGCCCACCTGAGGGTATGCTCGGCTGAGGCGCCCACCTGAGGGTATGCTCGGCTGAGGCGCCCACCTGAGGGTATGCTCGGCTGAGGCGCCCACCTGAGGGTATGCTCGTCTGAGGCGCCCACCTGAGGGTATGCTCGGCTGAGGCGCCCACCTGAGGGTATGCTCGGCTGAGGCACCCACCTGAGGGTTTGCTTCTGGACACAGCTTTGTTTCGTCCCTGTCATCTTTATTGTCCAACTATATTTACAGTAAACTAATTGAATGGCGTATTTTTGTCAGTTCAAGAAAATCATATTCATTACAACGGTTCATTGTAGACACGCACAAAAATGGTTGCTTGTACCGTCGTCGTCACTTTAATATTGGGTGGGAGGGGGGAGCAGACGTCAAGTGCACCGAAGTCTCCCTAACAAAAATGGAGATGGAGCTTGAAGTCTCCCTAACAAAAGTGGAGATGGAGCTTGGGAAAGAGGCTCAGTGAGCCCCTAACCAAAAATTATTTGGTAAATTCAAAATGCAGGGCTGCGTTTTGCCGCGTTCACGAATTTATGTTGACATCAGTCTACACTTCGTCATCGAGCAACACAAGAAATGCCGGTGGAAATTTAGGTTACCTTGACCTTGACCTGGTTGTGTTTTTACAAATCTTTTACTTTAGTTGTTTATAAATACTAAATCGAATTTTTTTTTAACAGAAACTTAGAAAAAATAGTTCCCACTACAATTTTAAATCAAATTAAATTGTCAGAAGATCTTCCAATGTTCATTAACAATATGGCCAAATTGATTGATGCCCCTAGAAGCGCGAGGCCCTGGGAAACTGCCCAATGTGCCCATTCGGTAAGACGGCACTGCACGATAATCTAGTCATAATCTTTTCACAACCTGAAACAAAGAGGGTAAGAAGAAGACTGAAGAAATCTCCATCTTTTTAATGTTCTATGGATTGCTATTTCTGTATTATACTCGGGTAAAAAAGTTTGACTCTAACTGTGTTGTGATGTCTGTTGTTCATTGTGTTGTGATGTCTGTTGTTCATTGTGTTGTGATGTCTGTTGTTCATTGTGTTGTGATCTGTTGTTCATTGTGCTGTGATGTCTGTTGTTCATTGTGTTGTGTTCTCTGTTGTTCATTGTGTTGTGATGTATGTGTTCATTGTGTTGTGTTGTATATTATTCATTGTGTTGTGATGTCTGTTGTTCATTGTGTTGTGATCTGTTGTTCATTGTGTTGTGATGTATGTTGTTCATTGTGTTGTGTTGTCTGTTGTTCATTGTGTTGTGTTGTGTTGTCTGTTGTTCATTCTGTTGTGATGTATGTTGTTCATTGTGTTGTGTTGTATGTTGTTCATTGTGTTGTGATGTCTGTTGTTCATTGTGTTGTGATGTCTGTTGTTCATTGTGTTGTGATGTATGTTGTTCATTGTGTTGTGTTGTATGTTGTTCATTGTGTTGTGATGTCTGTTGTTCATTGTGTTGTGATGTATGTTGTTCATTGTGTTGTGTTGTATGTTGTTCATTGTGTTGTGTTGTATGTTGTTCATTGTGTTGTGATGTCTGTTGTTCATTGTGTTGTGTTCTCTGTTGTTCATTGTGTTGTGATGTCTGTTGTTCATTGTGTTGTGATGTATGTTGTTCATTGTGTTGTGATGTATGTGTTCATTGTGTTGTGTTGTATGTTGTTCATTGTGTTGTGATGTCTGTTGTTCATTGTGTTGTGATGTATGTTGTTCATTGTGTTGTGTTGTATGTTGCTCATTGTGTTGTGATGTCTGTTGTTCATTGTGTTGTGTTGTATGTTGTTCATTGAGTTGTGATGTCTGTTGTTCACTGTTTTGTGGTGTATGTTGCTATGCAAAGCTATGTAACTGACCATCAGGGTGTCTACTGTGAGGATTTAGACCCACGCCTTTTCTCCACTTGGCCCTTCGGTTTTGAAACCACACCTGCAAATATTTTTTTAATCATCAAATAAATTCCACCATGATAATTAAAATCAGAGATAACATTTTCATTTAAAGGCCAGACAAAATCTGACTTTTGCTTACGCGTCTTAGGGATTTCTGTCTTTGAGCCATTACATGTAACACAACATGGTCTAATTTTTATATATTAAGTCACGCCTGCATCTATACAAATCGTGTTTGCAAGAAATATCTGCAACTGTGGAATCTTTATATCTCTACATTTCTTTCACCACCAGTAGGACAAGAGAGATTGACGTCCGAGGCTAAATCTTTATTTAAGCGCCCTCGTTTCCCCAAAGGTATCTTCTAATATCTAAGTATTTAAGTAAAAAATATGACACCCAGCGGATCCCCCCCTCCTCACCCCCTACTCTTTTGAATGACCCTGTACACTATACATCTGTTCCTAGTTCCTACATCAATATGAAGTATAACATTCTGTGCCACTGTTGTTATATTAAATACAAGCTTTTATTTTGATTTGGTCTCTAAGACAATTTCTAAAGATGGCTGACCTGTACACGTGACTCGTGCAGAGACAGCCTCTGCGCCAGATCTTCCCTCGTCACAACATCCGGGTATGGTGCCTTCCTGAAGGTTCGCTCCATGGCCTCCAGCTGTTGAGAACTGAACGTTGTCCTTGTGAGAAGAAACGGACAAGCAGTGTATCCCATCTTGTATCATACACATGCATCATCACCTTTACTATCTCATCTTGCATCACAAAACATGTATCATCACATTTTTGCTATCTCTTTTTATATCATTCACATGTATTGTCACTATTTGCTAACTCATCTTGTATCATACACAGGTATCATATTTATTTGCTATCTCATCTTGTATCATACACGCGTATCATATTTATTTGCGATCTCATCTTGTATCATACACATGTATCATCTTCACATTTTCTATTGTACTCTAACATTTTTAAATGGTTCTAGTGAACGGAATTGGCACCTGTCAATTTTTCAAAGGTCCTCACATTATGTACCAACATTTAGATTAAGTAACATGAGCAGCCATATAATAACACTACACCAATCCTGTGATGACCGACTTGACTCTGAGGTACGGGAAATGTCCAACCTACCTGTTGCGTGGACGTTTCGAATGATTTGAGTTGCGTTTATATACCTGCTCCACCTGCTGTATTGGACTCTCCAAATTTCTGACGTGAGAACCGTTTATCCTGTTTATAAGAATCTGATTTCCACGCAGCTGTGAACTGTCGTCAACTCTCTGAGCACTGTTTGCCAAGGGAGGTGACTCAGTTGACTTGATATTATTTGATTTACCGGCCCTGGATATTCTCTTCTCGTGTTGTATAATTACCGCGTGCTCAGTTTGTTGATGTTGCGTGGTCAAATGAAGCTTTTCAGTGTCACTGAATGTCATTTTGGAAACGAACTCGTCATTTTCCCAACTTTCCCACGCCTCGCGTAAATGAACCGTTTCTATTCCACGCGTGGGGTGATCACCATTCGCAAAAAGGTGGTATGGAGTATTTCCTTCAACGAAAGAACTTGACACAACTGAACTGCATTTTGGGAAATATCGCCGTCCCCATGCCGGGTTAGTGTTGTCATAGAAACCATTGTTTGCATGCGGGATCATCGGCTGCAAACATGTTTTGATTGAAGGAGATGGTACACCAAACACGGGAAAGCCATCCTGGCCTCTTTTAAAATCAAGTTTGTCTGAGATTTGACGTAAACTGCCCTGGAATGTAACGGGCTTTACAAATCTCGTGCGATGATGGGCTGGCCATGACCCGCTAGAGTACGGAGTGAGTTCTCGTAGGTCGTGGACTGGCCCACCTCCAAAAAGATGAAGCCAGGGTTTTGTTTTCAAGTTGCCAGGCTGGCTTTCGTGAGTTTGTGAGCGGGCGTCTAATGGTGTCAAATGTGATTCATTTAGCTTGCTCATGGCTATTGGTGGTAATTTGCCGTGAGTTGCGATCTCGTCTGCACTTGAACAATTTGCCCCTGGTCGAATTGCATCTTTTGCAGGTTGGTGGAGGTCCAATATGTACGCCATCAAAGGGGAAACTGATGTGGAAAAAAATTGAAGGTTGAAAAAGTGTGTGTGTGGGGGGGGGGAGGGTGTTATTGTCTATGCCGTGGCGGACAGTCAATAAAAATTTTATTAGGTTAAAAAAAAAGTTGTGATCAGAGGGCCAAAGTTGTGATCAGAGGGCCAAAGTTGTGATCAGAGGGCCAAAGTTGTGATCAGAGGGCCAAAGTTGTGATCAGAGGGCCAAAGTTGTGATCAGAGGGCCAAAGTTGTGATCAGAGGGCCAAAGTTGTGATCAGAGGGCCAAAGTTGTGATCAGAGGGCCAAAGTTGTGATCAGAGGGCCAAAGTTGTGATCAGAGGGCCAAAGTTGTGATCAGAGGGCCAAAGTTGTGATCCTGAAAACATTTGACCCCATCAACTTTGAATGCGGGAGGCACAAAACCGGAAAGTGGCCGGAGGTCTCCAAACCCGGAGGTCTCCAAACCCGGAGGTCTCCAAACCCGGAGGTCTCCAAACCCGGAGGTCTCCAAAAAGTCAAAGGCTCTTACCCTGACCGATTGTTGTTAACACATCTATTACAGATAGAATGTGAACTCACCTTGAGTCTGCAAGCTTCTGTTACTGCCAGCCGCGTCACCACGTAAAACTGAGTTCCTGACATTCTTCTCATCTGCTGGAGACTTTGTGAACGCAGACATTTCGTCAACTAGATTTCGAGGTGAACACAAACGAAAATGGGGCAGAAATGTACAACGTGATTTCATATTCCAAAAGTTGCACAGTGTAATTTAACTTTATTTATTTATAAAGCTACTTTTTTTTTAAAGTTTATCTATTCATAAAGTTAGTTTTAATTTATGTCTATTTATAAAATTAGTTTTAGTTTATGTTTATTTATAAAGTTAGATTTAATTTAAATATTTATTTATTTATAAAATTATTTTAATTTACGTTTATTTATTTATTTATAAAGTTAATTTAATTTATGTTTAAAAAAAGTTAATGTAAAAATCAATCAGCGCAACTGTTCATCACCACGGACACCAACAAAGACACCATAAACCAACTTACTTTGTTTTACGCGAACGTTGCCAGGAGAGCCAGTTCCAGTTGAATGGAGAGCTTTTACATATCCTATAGCGACATCAACACCTAGCTATCAGCAGGGACAAGACAGTTTACTGGCAGAGAATGCAGCGATATAACAACTGTCGTTTAGGGAAGCTCTATAATGACCGTCCCTCATCAGAGATCCCTGAATAAAAAGTTAACGGTCACCAGGGATGCTCGTATGGGAACTGAAGGTAGAGAGGATCGGTCTCTGTGGTCAGTGAGTGAATTTGATCACAACGTGAGTCAATTATTATAAGGTTTGGCTCGATGGTTGGAACATAAATCACGTGCCCCCGTCGCAAAAAGTTGTGTTAGTTGTGTAAGTGTGAGAGCATAGTTTGAACGGTGGTTGCATTTTTAAAAGTATGAGAACCGCTGCCCTGGTTGCTAAGGCTCCACCCATATCCATGCCTCATACCAAATCTATTATCGCTCGGTGTCCACATTTGCAGATTCCAGATTGTATTATCCTATAACCCCATCATCACGCTCCCATCTGTAAGTTAGCATTGGCTGTCCCGTTGACCAATCCGAGTGCAGTTTAAGGGCTATTATCCTGCCATCAGATGCTCCGTAAATTGGCGGCGATTATTCAATTAGGGGTTGGCTTCTGCTCCGTCACCGTTCGGGAATTTACGGTGTCACACGAGGACTTAATTGCTGGAGATATTGCGTGTCCCATACTCTCGAAGGCAATTATCCACTGAGAAAAATGTTCACCCCATGCATTCTGGTGAAGGTCGCCTTCTTTGCATGAAAATTGGACCAATCTTTTGCAATAAATTAGTGGTGTAACGGTAGCTCAGATAGATAGGCCTAATCGTCCAGTTGTGTATTAATCATCTGCGAAATCTAACCACGCGATTTCCAAGTGAACGTGTGTTGTTCGCTAGGCAAGCAATGCATTTTGGGTAAGATGAATAAATCATGTTGTCTACACTCTTTAAACTAATTAAAAAGACAAACATGACGCCACATTCAAAACAAAATTATCACAAACAGCTAGGAAAAAATTGAATGTAGAAATACTGACCTCTGGTCAATGGCGGTCAAGTAGCTAACTCACCTACCACGCATTTGACCCCAGCTGGATGCCAGGTCAAGGCAACCTGGACTCCCACCCCTATCCCACATCATATTATTGTTCATTTTATATTAACATTTGTCATTTTTTTCTTAAGGTTATTATCTGCATTGTGTGAATTTCTTTTTATTTAAATCTGGATGCAGCGTCCACCCCTCCCCCCCCCCACCCCGTATTACTCTGATGAATGCAGTCCCCCACCGTATTACTGCGATGAACGCATTCCTTCCTGTATTACTCTTATAAACGCAGTCCTCCCAGTATTGCTCAGGTGAACGCAGTCCTCCTCATATTACTCTGACTGGCGTGACGGAAGAGGGGAGCAGACATTGAGGGTGCCGAAGACTCTTGACCAAAAAGATGGAGTAGGGGTCCAGTTTGTTGGGGGTAAATTCAAAATGCAAAGATGCATATTTGAATTTGATGTTTATTTCAGACAATTTGGGAGGTGTCATTTAAGACTTTCCGGTGGGAACGCCAAAATTAGCCATAATAATGATCAAGGACATCTCTAACTGCACCCCATCCCAACTTGAACTAAATTCATTCCAATTGTGACACGCTTGATGGTACTTTTTTGCCCTAGTTTAGTCTTGACTCTAAATCTTTATAATCCCCAGAAAATGTTTGATAGAGTCAAAATGCTAAAATGCATTTAAGCACATACCTCAATTTAGATTTGCATAACTATTCACTTAATCGGTAACCAACGGGAGAGATGCTATTAAAAAAATGTAGGTGTCACTTGACCTCAGAGCCATCGTGTACATCTTTTACCTCTCTGATATAAGGTCTTAAACTTGTGATTGAACACTTTTTTTTTCATTATCAACTTTGTTTGCAAGGTGGGGGGAGGAAAAAATCGAAAAATTGCAGGGGGTCTCGAAAAGTCAGGCGATGGCTCATCTTGATCTGGTTATTTTATATAAATATTTAAGTTAAAGTGGTTTTTAATTTTTATTTTAAACTATTTTTGAAGTAAAATAAACGGCTAAATTAATACAAGAATTAAAAAAAAAAAAGTTTTCCATCACAAAAAAAAAAAGCGCTGCTAAAATCATTTCTACGTTTAACGCAATTAAAAATCCAGTGAAAAAAATGACGTTAAAATATTACCATTCAATTAATATTCAAACATTTAAAAAAACAACACACACACACAACAATTTCTGTTTTGTAGGAAGGTCTCTACATTTTAGGGTTTTTAAATCTGGTCATTTATATAAAGCATACCGGTATATGAACGCCACAGTTATGTTAAGCAGACAAGAGGTGTTTACAAAAGACTTCATAAATTTATTCATGTGTCGCTTCATCTGAGGGAAAAATTATTATTCAGAGATATATGGAAATAATTGTATTGTATGGAAGGATGAATAAAAAAAACAACAAAACTCCAACAGCTAATCAATTTTAAAAATACAACACATTTTATGGGGGATTTGATTTGAGATAAATAAATTATTCACATCGTCCCCTGAACTACACTACACTTAGCTGGCCACTCCCATCTAACTGCAATAATTGACTGAATACCCCGACCAGATGCTAGCGCCGTGTGTAACCAAAACGCTCTTGTCTGTGGCCAGTTAATAACATTAACAACCGGCAATTACAAGGCTGAAGAGTCGGCGGATGGGAGATAATTTCTTTGTCTGGCTGGTGGCTCCTGTGTGACTTGTTGTCCCCACTTAATTTTAATGCTGTCGACTCACTGTTAAAATTGGATAGCTGAACCTTTCCCATCGAAATGAAATCTGTCATAATTTATTTATATTTTTTTCATAAACTGTTAAAACTAACACATTTTCGTATAATTTTTAAAATATTTAATCTTGACGTTTCCCCTCAAAATCGTTTACGCATATGATTAATAATTACCGAATAAAACCGAGTAACCAAAAGGGGTTAATTTCGACCTGTGATAACACAGCAAATTACGATCCCAGTGCTTTAACATTTCCCTCCTCTTGAACTAAGAACGTGGTTTTTAGTCTGACAGAAGAGTAGATAGTTAACTGGCATAAAAGATAACACAATAATGACGTTTGATTAAAGTAAAGCGTTTCATTTCACTTAACTGGCAGGCACCTTGGACCACAGACTCCACAGAAACTCACTTTGAAGTTGGGCACAATTACTGGATCTAAATTATACAAAGGTTCCAAAACTTTTTTGAGACGACACCATCTAATAGAGCCAACACGACACAAAATCTCAATTTTAGAGAACCAAACTGACCTGCAACCCCATTTTATAGAAGCAAACTGACCAGAAACCCCACATTATAGATCCAAAGGACCCAAAAGCCAATTATTTAGAAGCAAAGTGACCTAAAATATGTTATTCAGTAGGAATAGTAAATGAAAATTATTATCAACAAGATATTTAATGTAAACAAACTCTTTAATGGACTGACTTGTTATAATTATATACAATTCATCAGCCAAATAACAATCAAAATTTAGCATGAAAAACAGAATAAATCAGTTCTAAATAAATGGAAACTCATTGATATCTGAAATGAAACTCATGTTTTTTGCTGATTAGATATTGGTCCGTCCAATCTTATGCAGTGCATTGATGACTAGAATAAAACATCTATACTCAGACATGCTACAAATTAATCTTTTGATGAGAATGTTGAAATTATGATCAATAATTTGTTGAATAAGTGAATGGCCTCAGAGTCTCTGCTCAAAATATTCATTAAAAGATTATAAATATTAGGCACTGTATACACCAACTTGGATACATTTTAACATTTTGGTAGCAACATTGGTGGTCAGCTTTACAAGAGTTTTATTGCAATTTAACTGCATTGTTCCATGATTTTTCAGAAATAATGCATGCATGTCACTGAATCATAAGTTTGCAGTTCATTTAAAAGTAAATGCTATCAATCACCAATTTTACTAATCTATTTTCTCAGTACCGGATACAATAATACATAATTGACATTGCAACTTTATCCTTGTTTGTAGGGTATGAAAGAACATGGCTTTAATGAAATGCACGCCTGATATGTTTCATATAGAAAAAGATATTTTTTACTCCAGAAACCTATTACATCCAGAGCATTAACCAAGTAATTGACAGTTCTTGTCAATTAGATTTTTAGTTGTAGAGCCCAACCTTGGGGTTGCGATCCTTTTGGGGTTCACATGGATTTAAAACCCCTGTTTTATTTACATGGTGTTATGGGATCTCAGTAATAAAAAAAAACTATCAGCTGGTGTCGCAATCCACTAAAAGTTTGACTTCCACTGATCAAGAGCATGCTTTCTCTAACTACCTGTAAATTTATTTGTATTTACTTAAGAACAAATTAAACATGTATTATTCTTTTTTATTTTGCTGCATTCACAAACAATGTATCACATTTAAGGAAATAGTAGGACTGGTATGTGAAGCTTGAATCAAAAGACGGAACAATAAGATATGAACGTTTCAGCTAAGAGTAAGAGCCTTCCTTAGCAGCCGGATCTCCACTAATAACAATGGCCAGCACTTAAGTTATAAACTATTCTCTAATTCTTGTCATATTTTCATTTGTCATGTCTTCTGAGGAAATCTCCTAGCCGAAACATTATCTTATTGTCCTGTCTTTTCATTCCAGCTTCCACACACCTTGTCCTACTATTTCCTTCACACAGCTTGAATGCAGTCCTTCATTTATTTTCACATTTAACAGAAGCAAATAAATAGTTAAAGCCTTTCATTACAGTAGATCCTTGACAAACGCTTCCATCGTGTTCCTCTTCATCCTCATCAAATGCCAGTCTTCTGTCTCGGTGAGGTCTATGCAGCCATTGCGCAGGTAGAGATCCTTGGCATGGGTGTTCCAACCCAACACAGACAACTGAAGTCGATTGCAGCCTCGCTCTAATCCATCCTGAGGATCAAGAACACAAATAAATGCTCAATTTTATCATTTTTATTCATCGTATTGCCCTCGGTATCGGCATGTCAAAACTTTCCTATAATTAAATGTTTGTGGGGCAAACTAATTGGTGTTAATCTCAGAACTTTTGTGGGGCAAGCTAATTGGTGTTAATCTCAGAACTTTTGTGGGGCAAGCTAATTGGTGTCAATCTCAGAACTTTTGTGGGGCAAGCTAATTGGTGTTCATCTGAGAACTTTTGTGGGGCTAGCTAATTGGTGTTAGTCTCAGAACTTTGGTGGGGCAAGCTAATTGGTGTTGATCTCAGAACTTTTGTGGGGCAAGCTAATTGGTGTTAATCTCAGAACTTTTGTGGGGCAAGCTAATTGGTGTTAATCTCAGAACTTTTGTGGGGCAAGCTAATTGGTGTTAATCTCAGAACTTTGGTGGGGCAAGCTAATTGGTGTTCATCTGAGAATTTTTGTGGGGTGAGCTAATTGGTGTTAGTCTCAGAACTTTTGTGGGCGAGCTAATTGGTGTTAGTCTCAGAACTTTTGTGGGCAAGCTAATTGAACCTGACTCACAAATCATAATGTTGGCTAAGATAAAAATATACAAAAATGCAGGTTAGAAGATAGACAGTGAATATCGGGGTGATGTTGTAGGACCCACACATCAGGGCGATGTTGTAGAACCCACACATCAGGGTGATGTTGCAGGACCTACACATCAGGGTGATTTTGTAGGACCCACATAGGGTGATGTTACAGGGCCTACACATCAGGGTGATGTTACAGGACCCACACATCGGGGTGATATTGTAGGACCCACACATCAGGGTGATGTTACAGGACCCACACATCAGGTGATGTTGTAGGACCCACACATCAGGGTGATTTTGTAGGACCCACATAGGGTGATGTTACAGGAACTACACATCAGGGTGATGTTACAGGACCCACACATCAGGGTGATGTTGTAGGACCCACACATCAGGGTACAGGGTGATGTTACAGGAGCCACACATCGGGGTGATATTGTAGGAACAACACTTCAGGGTGATGTTACAGGACCCAAACATCAGGTGATGTTGTAGGACCCACACATCAGGGTGATTTTGTAGGACCCACATAGGGTGATGTTACAGGACCTACACATCAGGGTGATGTTACAGGACCCACACATCAGGGTGATGTTGTAGGACCCACACATCAGGGTGATGTAGGACTCACACATCAGGGTGATGTTGCAGAACCTACACATCAGGGTGATGTTACAGAACCCACACATCAGGGTGATGTTACAGAACCCACACATCAGGGTGATGTTGTAGGACCCACACATCAGAGTGATGTTGCAGAACCCACACATCAGGGTGATGTTGCAGAACCTACACATCAGGGTGATGTTGTAGGACCCATACATCAGGGTGATGTTGTAGGACCCACACATCAGGGTGATGTTGCAGGACCCACACATCAGGGTGATGTTGCAGAACACACATATCAGGGTGATGTTGATGAACCTACACACCAGTTTTCTGTAACTATTGAGTCTATGTCACTACAGGCCCTCCAGACAATAATCTATTCTCATTTTACTAACTACTAGTATTAATAGGCTAATATACAAATTTAGATCATAGGAATGAGTTTTTAAAAAATCATTTAATATTATAGTGAATTTCAATTTTTTTTTGGGACAATTAACTTACAAATAGGTTAAGAATAATCAATGTTCCAGCTGTGTTACCTTTGTTACATGTTTCCATAAACGCTTTCCTATGCCTTTCCCTCTGAAAGCTGGTGTTACATAAAGATCTTCAAGGTGTAAAGCTGCACCCTCCCATGTTGAGTAGGTTGAGAAGTACAGTGCGTAGCCAATCAGATCTGGAGATTCTGCAATGATTCAAGATCATTTACAAATTAAGACTAGATGCATAAAAATTTTTATAATTTTTTTAAGATGACAACTTATAAAATTTGTGATAAAATAAAAAACATGAAAAGACAAAGAATTTTATTTGACCTACCTGTTTGGACAGGTTCTGCAACTATACAATAACACAGTGGTTTTTCTCCAAAGCAGTCTTTCCTTAACACTGAAAATAGAAATGATAATTTAAAAATTTGATTAAAATTTATTAAGATTTTATACTTATCTTTCATTCCTAAAAACTAAATTTTGAAACTGTTCACATTTCTTGAAATTTATGAGTTATCGCCTCAAATGTATCCCTTACACTACTGCATCCCTTACACTACTGCTATAGTTAGTTGAAGTGCAGTCATTTTTAGGCATACCATCAACAGTCATTTTTACTTGCTCAGGAAGTTTCTCAAAAATAGCCAATTCCTGTGTAAGAAAGAGATTGGCAAAAATGGATTTGTCACAACTTTTATAACAAATGGTGATTCAATAAATTATGTTTTCACTGAAATTGCATAAATATTTTTCGACTGTTTGGAAACAAATTTGTCAACCATATGATGTGTAACTCTTCTTTATTTTAGGTAGGTCTTGCGTCAAATACTCTTCTAAATTCTAGTCTAGCATTATGATCATGAAAATAAAAAAAATAAATAAAAATTATAATCTAGAGTAGATTTAGTATTTCACTTTAGCAATAAAGGACAGCATATATATAAGAATTTGATTAGAGTTAATATAACACAAATGAGTTTCATTTCATACTAATCGTAGAGAAATTCAGAAAAGGTAATAGTAACCTTAGCCCAGTAGCAGATTTGAGAAGGCTTATTCCTGGAAACTCCAACCAGTCCAATATAAACCTTGACTAACTTATATCAATGAAAATCATAAATTTATAATTCATGTAGTGAGAGTGAAGAATGTGATTGTTAAATAAATTTGTGTCATTGTTAGGATAACATTTAATTTTTTAAGTTTAAGTGTTGGTTTAATTTTGATAGACTCAGACCCCCAAGGTGCCGTCCCATAAAGTAAGTCACGCTATTTTGGACCATTTTTACCCCCCTCCCCCCTGCCACAAACTGTCACAAATTTTGGACCCCCCCAAAAGTACGTCACACTTTCGAACAACATTTTAAAAAATTAATAACACCTAATTAAATTTTAATCTAAAACACACTTCACTATTAAACTGTATTAAAAGATAACATTTCCACTTAAAAGAACTATAACATTATTAAAATGACATAAATAGTAGAATAGTTAATTGTCAATGGTTGTCACAGTTATTCATTGAAGCGGTAACTCAATCTAGATTGAATTTGAAAACAAAAATTGCAAAAAATAGACCTAAGACTAGTCAATTATATAATACACATCATTTATCTGCTGCTTTTTCATTTACAATAGGTGAGGTCAAGTTTAGATAATCTTCTGATGCAATCTTTTTACACAGGATAAGTAGTAGATTAGCGAAACTTGACCTCACCCAGTGATTAAATAATAAAATGGACAGTGACATAATTATGCAGGGGACAACATTGAAATAATAATTCTTCTGTGTCACAGATTATATGATGGTAGTATGAGGTATTGCCCGTTGCGTACCAAGTAGTATTGGTGTTGGTTGATGCAGGGGTTGCTCCTCTCTGTGAAGGTTCAGTGTCCAGACGTTGAGGATATATAACGAAGACAACACAGACTTCAAAGAATGACCAATAAATTCCTCATTAACAACTATCAACAAAGAATGTATTAATAGATTCAATACAGCCTAACAATATTCCCTTTCACCATTAACATCCATTAGTCTTTAACGTTACCATCCATTAGTCTTTAACGCTTCCCAACTTCCCAAAACATTCAGTAATCTTCCACGCTCCTTAACCTCAAAACATTTCTTTTTCTCCCCCGGAAATCGCCCCTTACTCATTCTTTATTAAGTAAAACTGGTGCCACATATCGGGAAATTCCGAACAAACACATTATAAATTACATGAAAAAGCAAATGGAGCGCCATTGTTACATCCCACTCCAGTCATTTGTGACATTCTGGCATGACGAAAGCAAGGCTATACATAAAACAAGGCTTCGCAACAGCATACAAGCGCTCCTAGGGTGAACAATCGCGAACAACACATTCAGGAGATACGCATTTCATGCTATTTTGACATAAAACTAATTCAAATGTTTCACAAAATTTTTGAAAATTATTTTTAAATCTATTAAATTCCACTAAAAAAATAAAAAATAAATTAGAAATAAAATTTAAAAAAAAAAAAATGTGTGACGTCACACATGGCCTGACCCCCCCTCCCCCCGTCACAAATTATTATGTAAGTTTATAGCCTACTATTTTATTTATTGAGTAATCAGGCTAATTATATACTTATAGGCTTTGGACTTAGACTATTAAAAAAAAATCAAAGTATAATATAGTACAATACTAAGAAATACAAGTACACTGTCCATTATTATTAGACAGCGAGTATATTAATTAGACCGGCACCACGTACACCTCGGCGGTGTACTTAGCGAAACTATTGACTTTGGCCTGCGTACACCACAGCGGTGTGCCTAGCTAAATCATGGTCTGTGGCCTGCGTATACCGCAGCGATTTAAAGTAGCAAAACCATGGTCTTTGCGAGTCTTTAACTTTTTCTTTTTGGCCTAACCAGTAGTTGTAGATTTAATGTTAGACTCTTGTTAAAACTGAAAACTATTTAAAATTCGTTTAGTACCTGGGAAGATATTGAGTAAGTTCCATGCTTATGTGGCAAAGTACTTGTAAAGCATTTCTTATTATTTATTGGAAGGGAGGGTGTTGGGGCTGTAATGTTAAACCATGATTTATTTTTAAAGTTAACCACTTTATCCCCCCCCCCCCAATATATTGAAATACAAATATATTTATTAATTGTTGCAAGTTTTATCCTATGATTGTGAATCTTAATACTTAATAGGCATAAAAAGGGTAGCTAATTTGAAATTCTTCTCTCCCCCCAACCCAGTTGTTTTTTTGTTGTTTGTTTTTTTTTGGGTTGGGGGGCATTATAATTATAACATTGAAAGGTGATCCTTCGGGGCGTTGTGTAAAAATCAATGGGAAACCAGTGAATCTATTTTGTTAGCACCAAGATATAATTACGCCATAAATACACTACGGGAAGAGAATCACATACTCATGCATTGATCATCAAGTCGTGATGTTAAAGTTTTCTGAGGCATTGTCATATCAAGCGTGTGTCAACACAAAACAACAGTATGATGATAAATACGAAACACTGCAATGATTTTTAAAAGTCTTTTAACAATAATTAAATATCATTGATTAAGTTTTACATAGGCATTACACATTAGTAAAAAATGCCGGCGGAAGGGGGGGGGGTGCAAAAGGTAAGTTTGTTGTGTGGACGTCCTTTGTGGACAACCCCTATCCAGAGCCGTGATTTGTGTAGGCCCCCTTTTTTGTTAAGCCTCTGCCCATAACTCAACCCCCCCCCCCCCCAAGGGGGGGGTGCAAAATGTAAGTTTGTTGTGTGGACGTCCTTTGTGGACAACCCCTATCCAGAGCCGTGATTTGTGTAGGCCCCCTTTTTTGTTAAGCCCCTGCCCATAACTCAACCCCCCCCCCCCCGCAAGGATCGATTTCTTAACAAAAAGCAACAAATAAAAAAACTTTGAAATAGCGCAAATCCTGTCCCAAGCGCATTGTGCAATGGTTTGTGAGAAAACTTTGTGTTTTACCCTAGGAATAGCACATGCCATGCCATTCTGGAAACAAATTCCGTCATGAAAAGGGTTAACGCACACCTATGGCTTTGCTATACAGTTTGCTACCGTTCCGTAAGTTTCTAAAATCCAGGTGTTTTCAAAAGATTTGCTGTGAGATTGAGTGTTGTGAATGAACCGTTGATATTGTGTGTACATTTGCCAATGCATAAGGCATAGTGAAAGCAAGATGGTTGAAATGCGACCGTGCACATTAATGACATTAATATTCATATGCTATTAATGATATGCTGGTATTTTATTTTGGTGTTCGTAAAAGTAAAATGTAAATATTCAACGATGTGAAGAATGTTGAATACAATAGAATATCACTTGTTATTCAAAATGTTTCTCTTATACATGTTACATACACTATACATGCGCTTTCTCAGAAACTTTCAGTTTGTTTTCTAATGAATGTCTTATTACTAAATTTACCGGTATTTTCGAAGTCAAAGGCCGGCACAACTTGTTGAAACTCTTAATAATCTGAATATAACATATATTTAAATTGTTTAAATTGCTACAAAATATTTTAAAACTAAAATGGGAAGAAAGAAAACTCGATCCCCTACACTGGGAATTGATCTCAAAATATAAATCGCCAAGCGTCCACTCTACCACTTGACCTTACAAGATCTTCTCTAACAAGCTTATCTTAAAACCAGGCCAATGGTACATTCTTGCCACGGTGTACCCAGGCCAAAGCCCACGATTTCGCTAGGTACACCGCCGCGGTTTACGCAGGCCAAAGCCGATGGTTTCGCTAGGTACACAGCCGCGGTGTATGCATCCATTTCGTATTAATTATTAATCTTTGAAGGAAATACCATTATAAGTCTCATTATCTCTGGACAGTCATCGGGAGTTGCTGGACGAATATTTATTTCTGCTGAAGAAGTAGCCATTGATTTTTTTTATTTTGTACACAATATTCAATAGGCTATATTTATATGAAATCGGATACTTTTTATCCTACATAAAAAATAAAGATCTTAAAATTAAAATTTCAAAAAATAAAATAGAGTGATGTGCCTTTAATCAGCGGGAGCTATTAGTATGTACAACGAATAGAAGGAGATCAATCTTCTCTCCGCACATCATTATATGGGTCAAATTGTTGAATAGTTTCTGAGTAAAATAAGTTCATACTTAAAATAAAATATTACAGAAATATTAATCCATACAGTAAAATAATTTATCGATTTCGTTAGTAGAAAACATCAGAAATAAACAGCAATTGATATTTCTCTTTCTTACCTGTGTGTACTCCCAGGTAGTAAATATAACTTCCGTTTCAGTCACAGCAACTGGAAATAGTTTATTTGAAAAAAAGAAAACTTTAAGAAGCCGGATTAACTGGCTAAGCAAAAGACTAAGACAGTGATCTGAAATGCCACCCGTATTTGAGGGATACTGGGGAAAGGAAACATCAACGCTTGATTGGTGCGAGGAAAACTATGTAGTTAGTTATTACATTGCTGAGTTTTGTAAGTTGTTTAATTTAGTAAAGAAAGTTTAACCTAACTTAAACTTATAGTACATAGATAGGCCTAACTTAAAGTCTACTATTTTAAAATTTGACCTCTGACTGAAGTTACTGATGCCTTTCGTTACAAAAAAAAGTGATTATGTTAAAAAAATAAATTCATTAAGAGCTTAGGCTTAGTCACAACCAAGTTATTAGTATTATAATTATACTCAATAGTAATAAAGCCCACAAAAAGGGGGGGGGGGGGGGGGTGTTAAATGTGTTGGACAGCATCAGTTAACACTTAACACCATCCAAGGTGGGTGACACTCTCCAAGTAGGGAGGATGACATCAGATTGAAAATTTGACTGAGCTTCCTCAACAAGTTGCCGGTTGGTTTCATAAAAGATATAACAATATAAAAGTTAAATAAAAGAGCAGGATCCCACCAGAACAGTTAACAAATTAAAATTAAAACAGCAGTTGTTAGAGTTGTTGACACCCTGGAGCTGGTCATTATTTAGTTTAGTATAAGTTCTGTATTAGTAGCATTCCCTCTAGAAAAACATAAAACTTAACAATATTAACCTATTCAATGACATCACTATGGGATGCAATGGGTGGGGGCTGTATATTATGAGTTGACAACATCACTGGGGGCGGACACTAAATGAAAAACTGCAAATTTATTAATTTATAATTTCACTATTAAGTCTTAGCCTAATTTATTAAATTATATTTTAATTGCATGTGAATATGATGGCAAATGAATTGTTTGAGTTTTCAGGTGCATTTCTTTTTAATTACTAATTTTTGGAATACTGTTTGAATGAAATCAAAATATTTTTTCACACCCACACAGGGAATACTATTTCCAATGCTGTGATGATATTTGCACCACTTGTCATGGTCTTCTTTGGATACATGGAAAAGCATGAAAAGCGTTTTATTTATAGCTTTTTGGCTTTGACGGGTAAGTCTAGCAATAAGTAGTAGAGAGGTCTTGATCTTATCCATTATTTCCCGTTTTAATTTTTTATATGATTCCAAAAAGCAAAAGGCTGTGAATGTGAAGAAAATATCTAATATCTTAATGAAATACTATTGTTACAAGAAAACGCATTAAAATAAGACAAAGGATAATTATTATGCCTATCAAATAAAATTATAACATTCATCATAATAAGCAAAAAAAAAAAAAGATCATATCATAAATGTAATTGCTTATTGGTAATATAATAAAAATTTAAATTTCAAAAAGAAAAAAAAAAAAGCATAAACTTTAATTTGGGACACAGATGTTTCTTCATTTTCATTGTTATCATGTTCTACATTTTAATCATAATATTATCTAGCTTTAAAGCAAGTCTGTGTAATCAAGCGAAGTAATACCATTTGTCTTTTTATTGTTTTGATTTTTACAGTTGTTGGGTTTGGTTCTTGGTTGTTTCATATGACACTAAAGTACAGCATGCAGGTAATAATAATAAAGGCTTCAAAGATGGTGTTGAGCAGAGCACAATGTGCCATTATGCAATACCGATATAAAAGTAATAACAATTCAAATATGACCTTGTGTTTATAAAAAAAAATTTTGGGCCAGTTTTCTGGAACAATTTCTTTTTGCTCTTCCTCTCAATCATGTCATTGATGTATCATTTTTGAGTTTGAGAGAAACTAACTAATCCAAGTGTCAAATGCTTTCCTGGTAGAAGTTCAATATCAGTCCACTTTTGAGTCTTGACCTACCTTTAGTTCATTTTAATAATTGATTATTACTGGACCTTTTATTATTACTGGTACTTTATTGTACATTGAAATTTATCGATCTCTCTGTATTCTAGCAAAATTATATTTTATTGTTAAAAAATGAATACAGTATTAAATTAGTTTATTTCTTTCACTTTCAGCTGATGGATGAGCTTCCAATGATATGGGGTACAAGCTTCTTGATTTATTCCTTGTAAGAGTTTTATTTTTATTGTTGGGTTAATAAATTACAGAAAGGGTTGTTGACCCTTGTCAAAATTCAATCATTCATGAAATCATTGCATAGCGGTTTTGTGCTTTAACCATTCTGCCACCATAAACCTTATCCTGGGGCCAGTAGCAGAAGTTAAATTATAAGTATTTGGCCTGTGGAAACAAAACTTTTTAAAGATAATCATCAATATTTTCTAGTGATAATAGCTATTTTATCCTAGATTACCTGCTGTGAAATCTTAGCATATCATGCAATATTTTTTTCTCTGAATAGTGCCCCTTGACATTCATTAACATGTGCAATAATTATTTTCTGTTGGTATATCTATCTCTGAATATTATTTATTAAAAAATAACTTACTAATATTTGATGTGTTTTACACTGATAATTGTACGGAGTGAGCTAATGATGTAAAATACACATTTATAAAATCTTTAAGTTAAATTAAAGGATACTGTTATTTGAAAGTTACTTTAATAGGATTGAGTTATATAATTTAAAAAAACAGTCTCATTTTATGAAATTAACTTCAGTGTGCTCGATACAGCTATATTTTTTCCCTTCTTTTTTTTTAATGCTTTTGTTAAGTGGGCTGATGGATATGTAGCACTGGGTGTACTTGAAACATTAATGAAAAGTTTGCTCTTTCAGGTACATGATGGATAGCAAGCCTAATGAGGAGAGCCCTCTGCTGCAGCTTATTTTGATTGTCTACTGTATAATAGTTACTCTTGTAAGTATAACTGTAAAACTTCTTAACATTAATGCTGTATTAATGGCCACGTCCAAAGTTGAATTGCTATAAATGTTCCATCCCCATCTTAAAAGTATGTTAAAAAAACATAGTAACCCACTGGACATACATACAGTACGTATCTGTTTTTCAACATCACGATCATAATTCTTCTTTTATTGATATACTTTGAGAAATATCAATTCAAAAAATGTAGTGAGTTTATAAGAAGAGGTTAGTGACATGAATTAAAAAAAACACTTACTGTGCTTTAAAAAATTAAAGAAATTTAAATTTATATATGGCTGAGACTATTTGCACCAGGTACCAGAGGTGAGAGGTTGGGATTAAAAAAACTATTTAAATATTATTGTTTGGTTTGTAAGACAAAATGGACCCGGACATGCAGTGCCGCCATACGGACCCGGGTCCATTTTGACTAAATGCTATTCGGATGTCATTTGTGGTAGTTTATTTTAGTTAAACTGAAGAATTAAGTTTACAAACCAATAGTCCATTCAATTAGCTTTCATTTGATACCACATTTTGTCTTAAAAACCCAACAATAATATTTTAAATAGTTTTTTAATCCCAACCTCTCACTTCTGGTACCCGGGTGCGAATTTCCACTTCGTTTATATAAAGTGAAACTTTTGTGTCTCTGTCCTAGGTGTACATCTTGATCAACATTCCTATCATTCATCAAGTTTCCTACGGCCTTATGGTATTTTGTATAGTTGTCCTTGCCAGTAAAATGGTTCTGTAAGTACTTTTGTAACATCTTAACAATTTAGTAAAATAAATTGGACACTTTTAAAGTGAAAACAAACATATTTTTCCTGTCCAACCTTTACTTTTATTTTGAATAGTTTGCCAGGCCGGGGGCCAACAACCTGCAGAAATGATTATGCAAGTTTTTTTTGTCATTGGTTACTGTCTATATCAAAGAATAATCACTTTTGACAACTGCTTATGCCAGGATACAATTTGAACATGGTGTTGAAGGTTTACTATTTTTATGTCATATTAAAAATGGATCTCAAAAGATATTGACTGCTGTTTAGGCTCATGTTATTTGAAGTTGTATCATCAAGCTCCACAGGTTACAAGCCTATTATTGTTTTATTCAACACTACAGCAAATCTTAAACCAGTGACCAAAAGTAGATAAGGGTTTTAAAAGTAATGTTCACCATTTGACAGTGCTATAAATAACCCTTCTTGTCGTTTGCATTTACAGCACGATGAAATGTGATAAAAAATTGTACATGATAGGCGTCTTGACTTATGCGCTAGGATTTCTCTTGTGGAATGTGGACAACATGCTTTGCTCTCATTTAAGGCAAGTTTTGGTAGCATTCCCTGAGAAAAGCATTCATGCATATCATTTTTTAAACTAAAAATCAAGGGCTTGAAATCTTGACTTATAATGTGTAACTGTAACATTGGAAGGTTAAAGGTCAGGAACTTTTGATCCCAAATTTAAATGGTAACTAAGAAAATTCTATAGTTGATGAATAAAATTTGTAGAAGACCTGATGACCAATCTGGAGAACCACAAGCAGACTGACGTGCTGGTAATGGACTTCGCAAAAGCATTTGACCGTGTGAATCATAGTTTGCTTCTACACAAACTCCAGAGATATGGGATTCAAGGCACCACTAAAACATGGATCTCTAGCTTCCTCAGCCACCGACGCCAAGCAGTAGTGGTGGGCGGTACAAGCTCCTCCTTTGTCGATGTGAAGTCAGGGGTCCCCCAGGGATCAGTCCTGGGCCCCTGTTTGTTCCTAGCATACATTAATGACTTACCGGAGAAACTGACATCACAGGCAAGACTGTTTGCAGATGACACAGCAGTGTATAGGACGATCGCCAACAGATCTGACCAGGACCAGCTACAACAGGATCTCAATCTGTTAGCTGAGTGGGAGATGAGCTGGGACATGGAATTTCACCCTGCCAAGTGCCAGACACTATCAATCTCTAGAAGTTGTACTCCTCTACACTACCAATACAAACTGCACGGCCATATTCTTGAGCAAGTTTCCTCCGTAAAGTACCTGGGTGTTACCATTCAAAGAGAGGTCCGCTGGGACGAGCATATTAACAATGTATGTAACCAAGCAAACCAAGCCTTGGGGTTCTTAAGGCGAAATCTAAAGATTGGCAACTCCTGTGTGAAAGAAAGAGCATATAAAGCCTTTATCCGTCCGATTTTAGATTATGCATCTTCAGTCTGGGACCCATTTACCCAGAAGAGCATTGACAGGTTGGAGGCGGTCCAGCGACGAGCAGCACGCTTTGTCCTAAACCGCTACAGGAATACCTCTAGTGTTGGCAGCATGCTAGAAACACTAGGCTGGTCACCATTGGAGAAACGACGACGACAATCCAGGCTCTCCATGATGTACAAGATAAATAATGGGCTGGTCCACTGTTCCAGTATTAAACAGAAACTCGTCCCTCTCCCCCATAGACAGCGACGAGGCCATGACAGGCAATTCAGGCTCCTACCAGCAAGAAGCCAGTATAGGAGCTGCTCATTCCTGCCCAAGACAATCAGGGACTGGAACAATCTTTCAAAAGGAACGGTTGAGGCGACAACACTAGACACATTTGTGTCTATTGCCTCCAGCCTTCAAACCCCTAGTGCATGATTTCCTCATCAACACCAGTAACAGAAACATTGCAAATCCCATCTACATGCATAGGAGCCAAAATGATCAATAAATTGATCGTGGGCCCTTAAGATATAGAAGAAGAAGAAGAATGGCTCTGTAACAGCAATGATTGACGCCAACTCGTCTGTGTTCGGTATAACGACTGATCTTTATTCTATATTCTGAACTCTTTTTATACGGTACTTCACATTCATGATCGCTCATTCCATTTTCCACACCTTTAAGTTTAAAACATTCATGAATAAAAAAAACTCACCACGTCCAGTCATACCACATAATAACAACACAGGCCAATCAGGTCACAAAGTTCACTCATTACTCACAATAATAATCGTCAGTCATGCATATCACCACAAGCTCTGGTTACATGACATCACTATAATCAAAATGATAAATAATTTTTATGCAACTAAATCCATATTGCGCAACATACACAAAACATACCAATTTACTGATATGAACCGTCTTATCCAGAAGTATAAGAGAACACCCTGTAGGGCAATTCTCAGGAATGTTGTTTGAGTGTCATGCCTGGTGGCACATATTTGCAGGGATGGGAACATACATTGCCTTGCTATTTGGGTAAGTTCTGAGGATAAATCTATTATGTAGAAAAACTTTTCTTTGTACTTTCATTTTATTGTTTTGATTAAGCTTCCATCTTTTAAGAACACCAAAATGTTTACGTCTGTTTTTTTCCAATATTAATTAATAAATCATTTTAAAATTGTGCATGTCATGGCTGTGAAGCTGGAGGAATTTTTTGTATTAGGCAGTTTTGTAGAATATCAAAGTCTTAGTTTGAAAATGTTACAATTTCATGATGACTGGCTAAAAAAAAATCCGCCTTTGCTTTTATCTTCTGAATTAATAGTTTTGTTGGAGTGGATTTAGTTTAATCCCATTTGATAAAATAAAATAACTGTTTATATGATTTTTTTTTTCAGAGTTCACACCCGCTATGTTTTCTTAAAGAGAAAACCACACATCAAGGTATGTTTTTTTGGTATATGATGGTGGATATTTACACAAGAGAAATACTTAAGATGTCTTGTGTTAATTTTTTTTAAATTTTAAAATGTTGACTTGTTGAAAAGAAGTATTTTTTTTATGTGCTGAAAATGAATATGTATAATTCTAAAAACATTTCCAACTTTTTATTTGGATCAATAAAAGAGTATTATCTTATCCACTTGTTATTGTACCATTGTAGCTAATGAAATTAATTCAATTTCTATCTTATTATTCATATTCTTATCAATTTGCAATCTGAAACATATTTTTAAAACTTTACATAATGTCAAAGAAAAAAACTCATACTAGTACATGTAATAGTAAACACTATGTTCCTAACCAAGAAAGAGCAGACACAAACCCATACTGGTACATGTAAAAGTAAACAATAAGTTCCTAACCACTAAAGAACATATGTAAACTTCACAAAGTGGTTCAGAACCTATGACGGTATAAGAAGCTTTTTAATAAATGTTGATTGTGCTGTCACAAGCAAAGCACTAATGACTTAGGTCAAAGAAGTCTCTTCATTCATTGTATGCCTCAGTCATTTTTAATAGCATTTGTGAAAGTTTTTTAAAATTTTGGAGCAATCAAATTAAAAGGCTGTGGGCAGCACACACCAGGGCTGCCACTCACTTTTCAAAAAAATTCCCAAGATCTTGGGAAAATTCACAAGGTGTGGTAACCCTGGCATACACATGAGAAATCCAATGTTTTGTTTTTTGTTTCTAATCCTGTTTTTTTTTTTTGGTTGAATTTTTTTCCAGTTCCTCATGGGATGCTGGCCTTACGTCTCCATTATAGAAGATGGCCCCAAGACTAAATAACTCAGCATTAATGTTTCATCAAGAATTTTTTTCCATTCATTGTGCGGATACGATAGGGGGGCCTGATGATTTATATATATTTTTTTATATCAGCTTTTGCTGCTCGTTAAATTGTTTGTAGATTAAATGACATACCGATCATTTGAACTTTATTACCGGTGGCACTGAAAGAAATGTAAACAGTAATGAAGAAAAAAAATAAGGCTATGTAACAAAGTGAACGTTGGCCTTGTAGTGAATGCTGGCAGAGGCAGATCTTAAGAACATGTGGACAGGAGGATAAATAAAAATAGTTTGCTAAGTTTTAAAGTTTTAAAAAATAATGTTAATGACTCCAATATTTCGTTGCAATATTTGGAGGGATGTGCATTATTTGTAGCCTCCCTCAGTCCAGGTTTCAATGAAATAGCTAGATCTTTGTTTGATGACTTTAGTTGAAAAGTGGTACGTGGGACCATTTCTACACCAGCATATTAAAGAGAGCAACGGCAACATGAAAGCACACTCCTTAAATTAATTATAAGCCATTAAGAATAAAAAAATAAAATAATTTGCTTGTTTTAATTATATTTGTGTGTTTTAAATGCTCCATTTGTTTAGGCGATAAAATTCACTATTTTCATAGATATATATTATTTACTTTGTTTATAATCCAATATATTAAAAAGGAAATACTACTACTGATTATATGCTTAATGTGTTTCCTTATGTTTGATGTCAGCTAAAGTTTCTATATTTAAACAATGCTGTTAATTGTTTAAATGGAATTAAATTGTTCTTAAGCCTAGATTCCTGTTATTAAGCTTAGATATGGATTCCAGTGTGTTGATCTTATTATTCAGTTGCCTAACACGTCTTTAATGTTGATGAGATGACTGTGTGATGAGATATGCATTCCAGTGCTTTAAGTTTGCCTAACACGTCTTTAACGTTGATGAGCTGACTGTGTCTGTTTGATTTTTACACGGTTATTTATCTGAAATAAGAGTTAAATAATTCACACAATTCTTTGTGTCCTTGTGATTATGATATACAAATATTCCAGCCTGGTGTTTTTTTGCTAAATATATTTTGATATCCAATTCTATCTTTCTTTTTGCTTGAAACCATTTCCAACACGTAGCCTTTTTTTTGTGTATTTTTGCCAATCTGTGCCATTATATGCTAAACTTTTAGTTAATTTTTTGTTAATGTAATGCCCTAGTTTGCACAACATGTGAACTATGTTTTGGTGTAACAAACCTGTGGAATTCAATAGATTGAAATGAGCAAAAACTCTACTTATAGTGTAACAAGTGAGAATGTTTGACATCTGTTTAGCATTTCAATCTTTTACTGAAATGATTATCTGCCATTTAATTTACAAATGTGTGCTTATTTTATAATATATTTACTTTACCAACGCAGCAATTTATATTACGGTATTCCGTACATTACTGTTGTAATTTGTCTCTTTTGTCTGAATGAGTTTAGTCTCTTCTTAAACATTTCCAGAGCTTTTAAGTTAACAACTATTGCATGGAATTTGGAAGAATTATTTATTTTGTTTACATTATAATTAATTTAATATCAAAATGTACACAAGACATGGACATACACTTAGGAAAATGTTTGGCACATTTGTTTTAATATTCTCAAGTTTGTAGCCAAATATTGTCGGTTTAATTGCACCACACAGAATTTTATTATGGCAGGTTCAGTTGTTCTAATTAGACTAATGTAATTTTTCAAAAAGTTTGATTGTCCAGGTATTTTCAATGAGAATTTACCTCTTGTCAAGATTAGCTGCCAAACTTGACCATAGCTGGAAAAAACCCAAAACAAATTCCAACCCAGAAGCAGAAAACCACTCTTTAAATATTTGAAAAAGAAATTTTTTTACTCATTCAAGCGGAGTTAAAGCCAGTGACTCTGGGGTGTCATCATTACAATATTAGTCCATAGTTTTTTCTAAAATTTTAGAGTCAATATTTTTATTCTTATCACAATTTTGGACGTTGTTTGTGTTCAAAGTATTGTTATTATTTACTTAAAATACTTTCTTGGTAATTGTACCATTTTTTTTTTCGTTAGCCCTTTTTTACATGAAATGGAAAAAGTTTAATAAATATATCTACTCCCCTTTCAAGCAAAATATGAGTAAAAGAAAACTTGAATAAATAATTAATAGAGGCATTTTTGTTGACAACTTAAAGAAAACATGCATGAATATTTGATACATCTGACTAGCTAGGGACAGAATAGAGATATTTAAAAGATATTTGACTCACTGCCAGGATTTAGTTGACTTAATTAAAATCTATATCATCCATGCTTCTTTTGAATGAGTTTCAAAATCTTTCCTAGAAAAAAATCTAACATTTTCCAATAACCAGACAAGATTACATTTTTTTCTTGATGGGCTCTCCCAATCTGAAAGAACTATTTGAAATTTTGGCTAAAATCCAAGTCATTAATTATATATGCTAGAAAGTTGCTCTTTTTCAATGAATTTAAGGAGCCACATTTTGTTTCTATTTGAAAACACACAATTTTTTAAATTAACAAGTTGTGGTGTAAGTAGTTCTTATATCAAGCAGCGGTTCTCAGTGTAAGTAGTTGTTCATGTGTCAAGCAGTGGTTCTCAGTGTAAGTAGTTGTTATGTCAAGCAGTGGTTCTCAGTGTAAGTAGTTGTTCTTATGTCAAGCAGTGGTTCTCAGTGTAAGTAGTTGTTATTATGTCAAGCAGTGGTTCTCAGTGTAAAAAGTTCTTATGTCAAGCAGTGGTTCTCAGTGGAGGTAAAATATTTGTGTCTCACATCAGCGTAATTTGGACTTTGTCCATCCAATGTATTTTTATTTCCACCTTCCACCACTGTCTGTTTTGGTAAAAACTCAAACTCTGAACCCTGACTCAACTCAAGACACTGAACTCAGACAGGGAACTCGGACTCTAATGAATAGCTATGTGCTGCCAGAAAGCTCACGGTTTCTTCCATTAACATGGTCTGTTTCAAGCATGTGCTACATGTTCAAATCATGCCAGTCCCTAGGTGCTGGAGATATATATATTATGTATTCATCTTTATTTAATAATGAAAAACGTTACATTTTTGCTTGTTTGAATAATTTTCTTTGAACTGGCTCAAGAATCTGTGGTATTTGTTTTCCATTTCTGTGTTAAATCTTGTAGGCATTTCTTGCCAAAAATAACCAAAATGTGAAATCCTGCTCAGAATTGTGATCACAGACAAGGTCACTTAACTTCAACTTGAATTTATTAATATCAAAATAAAACTCAAGTATATCAGCTAGCACTGTGTCTTTTTTCCTTTTTGTTTTTTATAAGCTGACATGTCCCTTTACAACAACGAACTCGGATCTCATTTCCTAATGTACATAATTTCTAAAAGTTTGATCAGAATGGACATCATCATAACAAAATCACTTTAAAGACATGGTGTTAAAATTCATCAAAACTAAAGGATTGAAAAGGGAGGCCACTCACTAGATAAGTTTAGGCGGCTTTAGTCTCACGCAATGTAACTTGCTGACAAATTCTTTGGGGGAATGCCATTGGCCAGATGCGCAGCTGAGGGGGTAGATGGCGCCAGACTAGCGGGCTTGCTCAAAATAGGTTTTGGTGATGTTTAATAAATACAAATGATGGGTTTCAGAATTGAAAAAAGGGAAGGGGGGGGGGCTTAAAAAATGAATATTACCCCTGGTAAAATTACTCTTGCGACACCTCTGCCAGAAGGGTGGAAAGGGGCGAATTTTTAATTATATGGAGGTATATGTGGGGGGAAGGGGGCATTTTCGGATAACTGCACAGTTTGTATCGTGAAAAGGAGTGTGGCCTGTGGAGTCATCTCCCTGGAATTTTGTGTGTAATTATTTCAAAATCAAGAGGTGCGTTTTTTTAGTGTACATGAATGCAGTGTTTCTATTGCTCGAGGGGAGGGGGGAGGAAGTATTTAAACATCCAGAGGAGGCATTATGACGTCCACAGCCATACATAATCTGATTCACTCCAGTTGTGGTGGGCCCTATAGAGATCAACTGGCACGCCCTTAGAATCAACTCCGGACTGTCACACTGATTAGCGTGAGGGAAGAGGAGTGCAGAAATCGAGGGTGTCGAAAACTGTCGGTCAAATTAAAAATGCGGGAATGTATTTTGGCGCAAGCTTGAATTCGTTTTTTTTTTTTTTTAAAGACAATTTTGATGGGCGGTATTTCAGACATTTGGGTGGGAAGAGCCAAATTAACCCTAACAATGATCAAGAATATCACCTACTCCACCCGAGCCAAGCATGAAATAAACTCATGCCAGTTGTGCTGCCCTTTAACTTAAAGGTATGCTGTTGCCCTAGGTTAATCTCGTCCCTTAAATCTTTATGGTACCCAGAAATGTTTTGATAAATTCAAAATGCAAGAGTGTGTTTTAGAATATATCCAAATTTAGTTTTACAAAATTCTACCCGTATTTGGGGAGTAACGGAAGAGATGCTGGTTAAAAATGAAGGTGTCATTTAACCTCAGAGGCATCGTGTTGGTGCCGCAAAACCTACGGCTGCAGAGGAGCTCGGATATTTTAGAGCCTTTTAAATTATCAAATTTGAATGCAAAGTGGGGGAGGGCAAAACCGAAAAGTGGCAGGTGGCCTCGAAAAGTCAAGCGTCGGCTTTGCTGGACCTGCATCCTTCCGTCTTCGTGAGACGATGGCGTAGCTAAATAGTCCTACACGTCGACGAGTGGCTCACTAGGCCAATGCGAGAATGACAATCTCTACCGCATTTCTCGCAGGAGAATATTGATTCCTGGTAAGATTTTGACTTCTGTTTTGTTCTTTTTGTTGAATGGGCCTCGTTTCGCGTACCTTCTGCCTTCTTGACTCCTTCATACATTGCTGTACGCCAGATGGAACGTTGTTCGGCAATGAGCTCCCATTCGTTGTTTTCAAGATTGGCTTCCTTCATGCTCCTTTTGCAAACGTCCATAAATCTCAGGCGTGGCCGTCCAATAAGTCTTGTCCCTTCTGCCATCTCTCCATAAAGCAGCATTTTTGGGATTCGTCCTTCCTCCATTCTCCGTACATGACCTAACCAGCGAAGGCGCCTCTTGCTAAGAAAGGAGAACATGCTAAATATGTGTGCACGTTACAAGACCTCCGTGTTAGGCACCTTGTCCTGCCATCGAATGCGTAAAATGCGACGCAGACAACTTTGATGGAAGCTGTTGAGTTTCCGCTCCTGACTGGTGTATGTGGTCCACACTTCGCTACCATAAAGGAGCGTACTAAGCACACATGCCTGGATAGACACTTATTTTTGTTTTATCAGTTAAATTAAGATTATTCCACACCCGCTTATTCAGTTTAGCCATAGTTGCTGCTGCTTTTGCGATCCTGATATTTATCTCTTAATCAACGGAGAGAGAACAAGAAATATTGGATCCAAGGTGTAAAATGCTCAACAACCGAAAGATTATGACCCTCAATAGATGTGGTTGGAGGGGACTGTGCATCTTGCATCATTACATGTGTTTTCTGTAGACTAATAGAAAGTCCAAACTCTTTACAAGCGTGTGATAGACGATTAACCAGCCTCTGAAGACCTTCTTCTGTGTGAGCTGTTAAAAAGCGGCATCGTCAGCGAGCAGCAGTTCACGATTCAAAATATTTTTTACTTTGGTCTTTGCACGAAGGCGGGCGACTTGAACAGCCTACCATCAGATCTGGTATGGGGGTACACTCCATCTTCACAGTCCTTGAAGGTTAAGTAAAGGAGCATCGAGAAGAAAATGGAGAAGAGCGTTGGTGCAAGTGCACAACCCTGTTTTACTCCGCTGCTGACTGGGAATGACTCAGAGACAGCGCCATTGAAAGTTACTGTGCCGTGCATGTTTTTGTGAAATGACCGTATAATTGTGAGTTCGTGGAGGAAAACCTATTATATCTATCTATCTATCTATCTATCTATCTATCTATCTATCTATCTATCTATCTATCTATCTATCTATCTATCTATCTATCTATCTATCTATCTATCTATCTATCTATCTATCTATCTATCTATCTA